ATAATTGTTAAAGTCAAATTAATAATCGGAAGTAAACAATATCTCACATTTGATTTTATGGCATCAGCAGGATTGACGCCAATATTGACAAATAATAAATTCCAAAATAATCTGTTTCTTGTGTGATACAATAATCTCTTCTCTGCATTAAACTAGAGAAATTACAGCAGAATATCAAATTTCAAAAGGGTTAGAGATTTGAGCTACTATCAACAACAGTAAGCCACAAATAAAAACATTTACCCAAATGGTTTGTTTAAAAATTTTTTGTGGGGGCTGGCCGAGTGGCTCAGTTGGTTAAGAGTTGGCTTAAGAGCGCAAGCTCTGAGCAACAGGGCTGCCGGTTCGATTCCCACATGGGCCAGTGATGCTGCACCTGAGCTGAGCTGCTGCTGAGCTGCCAACAGGTGGCAGGACAGCTCAGCTGGTGTAACAACAAGATTGCCTGTTCTATGGTGGGCTATGCACACCCGCAACTAAGACTGAACTCAGCACCTTGAGCTGAGCTGCCACCCAGATGGCTCAGTAGATAGAGCATGTGCTCTTAACAACAAGGCTGTTGGTTCAACTCCCGCATGGGATGGTGGCTACACCAACCCACAACTAAGATTGAACACAGCATCTTAAGCTTAGAGGCCACGAGCTGCCCACAGGATGCTAGATGGCGACTGGCGCCCTCCACAATGAAGACTGAAGAACAACTTGGCCGGTCCTCTTCCCCAATTCCCCAACACTGTTCCCCTCCCCCAATTCCCCAATTAAATCTTTAAAAAATAATTTTTGTGTCTTTTTAAAAAATTTAACAGAAGTTTCCCTAGAGAATTAAAAAAAAAAAGTGCTTCTCTCATAGTATAACAAGACTAAAATTTGAAAATTCATGCATATCAGCCTATTATCAGGGAAGAAACAGAGTAACAAACTGGCCATGCCCCAGAAAGGAAGCACTTCAGGACTATGTGTGCTCACTCAAAACAATGACATGATTATTTGCACTGAAGGCACTGGGCTACTGCTGAGGAATCCTCATTAGGGGTTACAGTGCCCCTCACAGAACGTTAAACAGGAAGGGATCTAGCAGGGATCTGGGCACTGGACAACAACGAGCAAACATAAATGAACTCAGCTTTTAAGTCAGCAGAGAATATCTCTCTCTCTTTTCCCCAAGTATTTTTAAAAGTGAAACAGCAAATGCTTGCTAGCAAATGCTCACAAAAAACTAAAAAAGTGAAATATGAAGTATTTTTTTAAAAGAATTTTCTTCTACATATTCAGAGAACAGCAAAGAGCAAAATCTACTAAGAATTTATGAATATTTTAAAATGCCAGAAACTGTAAATGAAAAGCAGAAAATCTAGTGAAATCAATGGGTTAGAAATGACAACACAATGACTTTTTCTATTACTGTACCTCCCACGAGCTTTTCCTTGTCAAAGCCAAGAAACCTCAAGGATACACCAAAACCATTTAAAACACGTTCTTGTCTCTTCCAATCCCAATTCCAACAAAAAACTTGTAGGAGTTGGCATCAAATTTAGGCTTATAATGAAATGTAAATTCTTAAAATATGGAGATTGGTTGCTAGCTACTCTCCTTTGTTTCTAAATCAATGAAGGAAAATGAAAATATACTGAAATGTTTAAAATACATTTCCTTCTTACTGCAACAAGTGAGGGCTATTTGCAGAATTATCATAGTTTCCCTAAAATGGGTCTAAACCACCTCTCTCACCTTTTAAAAAATGATTCTAGGTCTGGAGCTAACTCTTACACCTCTATTTTTACAAATCATGCAGATAACATAAGACATAACCTTTGTAAACATCTTGAAAATGTCCCCAATAATGCTGTTACTATGGAAACTCTTGCTGGCTAGTACTCTGAAAAGACTCAGATCCCTGAGTCTGAACAAGGTTACTTCCAACTTCTATACTTCCCGCTCATAAAATTTATCCTTTGCAGTAGCACATACACATCCAAAGAAAAAGATCTACCCCATTAACCATACAGAATCTATTCTTTTGGCCTAATAATTATTTCCAAAGTTTATGTTTTCTGATGCCTTTTCTCTTGGAATATTGTCCAAAAAACAAGAGAAATCAAATTCTACTTTTGATCATCACTCAATGTCAAAATTTCTGTCAGTGGTGCCTCTGAGTTGTCTTTCCAATTTTTTCCCCTCTGTTTTAGGCTTTTTGGGGAAAAAAAATTAGTGATATAAATATTTAATATGTAGTAACGACAAAGAGTATTTTTCTTTAATTTTAGGGAGATAATTAAGATACATAACCAATGGTCCTTTTTAAAACATGCTTTGTTTTCTAAAAAATTGACTGTGGGCACATGAATCAAGCTCCGTGAGTAAATATCTGTGTTACCAGAACAAAAACCCAAACACATTCCTTATTGATACTTGCCCCATACCAGCTCCCCACCCAAGATGATCGTAAGGGTTTCTCTTAAAAAGACTTTCCATAAAGGAAGACACACATATACCAGTTCTATAGAGCAAAAAGAATTATATTTAATGATAAATTCCATTTGTGTAGCAAGTTAGAGTTCATAAAGTGATTTCATGTGCACTACCTTATTTAATCCTTACAACAAATCCGTGAAGTAAACAGAACTGATACTATTATCTCTACTTTAAAGGTGTGGCTTTGTCTGGGTAGGAAAAAAAAAAAGCCCTAGGCTGAAGGTGAACAGAACTGGGAAATAGTAACATTTCCACCACTTACAAATTACATGGCCTTGGGCAAAACATAATAGGATGATAACTGGAATCCTCCTTAACTCAATTCAGACAATGGATATTACTTCTTAACTATCACCTCTGGGAAGTCTTCTCTGTACTTCCCATCCTGAGGCCCAGAGGCTGGGTTAGGGACTTGTGCTTTATGTAGGCCATTGTGATACCTTACTTATCTATTTACCCTCTATTTGAAATGTCTTTTTAAAAATTATTATTATTGTGGTAAAAAACACATAGCATAAAATGTATCATCTTAACCATTTCTAGGTATACAGTTCAGAAGTTTTAAGTATAGTCACATTGTTGTGCAACCAATTCTTTTTTCCTGTTTCCCCTACTAGATTATAAATTCTTAAGGGCAAGAATCATGTTTTGTTTGTTGTTCTATTTTTAGTATCTAGCACAGTTTGATACATAGAATATTCTCAATAATACTTACTCAACACATTCTCTGAAAAATTTCAGATGTAAACTTAAAAATGCCCGTGAATTAATATAGTTTAAATCAGCGGTTCTCAACCTTCCTAATGCTGCGACTCCTTAATACAGTTCCTCATGATGTGGTGACCCCCAACCATAAAATTATTTTCGTTGCTACTCTATAACTGTAATTTTGCTACTGTTATGAATCGTAATGTAAATATCTTTTTGTTTTCCGATGGTCTTAGGCGACCCCTGTGAAAGGGTCGTTCGACCCCCGAAGGGGTCGCAACCCACAGGTTGAAAACCGCTGGTTTAAATAATAATAGTTTAAAATAATAAGGATAAAAATGATAGACAATAAAAATATAGTTTAAAAAATTCTTTGAAGGGGTATAGGAGAAAAAAGTCTAAAGGCTACAATACTATCCAAACCATTGCTTCTAACTTTCAATTTTTATTATAGATTTGCAACGTTTTGCAGGCTTGAGAAATTCAGATTTTCAGCTTTGTACTGAGTGGTATCAGTGTAAAGATATGTCCTAAAAATTCAACCAAAACCAGTACTTAATTTTACCCGGAAGAGGAGAAAAGTAAAGGGTTCTTGAGTCATAGGGTACCATGTATCAAATCAGTTGCCTGATGTACCAATTCTCAGTGATAACCTTCTGAACCATGGTGCATGTCTGGACCGGATAACAGCATTCCTCATTAAGAGTTAAAATGATGAGTGGGATCTTTGAGGATGTATTTCCTTCACTGAGGTACTTACTTAAATTATCATTTAACAAGAGTGCCTTACATAGTGGTAAGATTATTGGCTGCATTATCAACATTACTGTAATCACAGAATCTACTGCAAAAAGTGAAAGTATGTTTTAAAGTGCTCTGCTGGACCAAACCGTAAGCCTTACCAAAAAAAAACACCCCAAAACCAAAAACAACAACAAAAAACCACCGCCCCAGTCTTTCATGACCATTTAGACACACTTTTAGATAAGTAGCAGTTTTAGAAACACTAAGGTTCCTAAAACAAGGTGTCTCAATTAAAAAAAAACCAAACAAAAAAAACCACTGCAAAAGTTTACCAAAGCATTTAAAAATAACTGTCATAATTTCAATTAGTGACATTTCTTTACCACCCACAGATGAGGGGGTACAGCCTCTAACGTGTGGGCTGATGTTGATTTGAATAGACAAAGAAGTAATGCATTTTAGTAAAAGGAAGCGAGATCTTTGATCGACAGTTCTTCAAAAAAGGTTAAAAATTCAAAAGAAGTGACTGCATGTGGCTCAGAACCTAAAAGCTTTTTTCTCCGCCCAACAGAAGAACTGTCTCAAGTAATAACTGGTTGCCATGGAGATAAGAAACTAGAGAGATCAGAGAACTCAATTTGCAGTTAAATGGGTTGGAAACAATCCTTATAACTTGGTGAAGGAAAGAGATTAAAAATATACATGATTGCCAGAGGGACTCTTTTTTTTTTTTTTACCTAGCATTTCCCAACCTCATTAATGAACAACAAGTCTAAAAAAAACCACATGAAAATCCAAGGCGTCCAACGATTGAACCCATTGAACATAATTCAGGCTTTCAAATGTTATTACAAATACTTCTGTTCTGGATGACTTTGATTCTTTTTAATGGTACTTGTTAGGATTTTTTGGAATGTGACTAAAATTGTGTTCAAGAACAAACTAGTATAACTGAGGGGACTGGAACGTCAGTGGAAAAAAACAGCATGACACAGGAAAAAAGTAACCAGAGTAAACATATTCAAGTAGTGAAAATCGTGTTTTGAAAAACCTCTTCACAGTCAATCATAGAATACCTTTGTGAGTGCTGTGCAGGGCTGCAAACGTCACCATGAAGAAAGTTGTCGAGTACTTCCCAGCATTAACTAAATGAGGAAAGGCCCTTTTTGTGTCTCGGTATCTGCGCAGGCACTGGATGAAGCGAAGCCAAGCAGGAATGCACTGAACAATGGCCCGCACACCATATGAGTAATTGTGGCAAATTTCTGGTTCTGTGTCTAAGAAGAAAAAATTACAATCTAAAACAATAACTTGTTCACATCATTGAGTCATATATTCACTAGCAAGTTCATAAAAGCAGGGAGCCTGGGTTTTAGTCACTTTCTTCTTTGTAACTATTCTATTCTCACCCTTTTTAGTCGTAGATAAGCCAAGGAGAGAAAGTAAAATAAATAGGAAGGACCTAGTAGGAAAATTGCCTTCTCAGGTTTCTGACTATCTCTTCTGGAATTACTTTCTTTTGGAGTGTGGTAAGACCGTAATTAAATTAGAAGATGAGTATACTAGTCATGAGAAAACAATAAAAAATGTTAGATCTGTGTTTGAAACACCTGGAATACCTACAACTACCACTGGTGACTCCAATCAATTTCATGAACTCCAAGCCACTATAATATAACATTCCCACTGTAGGTTGTTCATGCTCTTATACTCCTTTTTTTTTTTCAAACAAAATGCAGAATTTGTATTTTTAAATGAGAAGAATAGAGTTGGTAAATCAATTTTTCTTCAAATTCTGGGAATTACTAGAGTGATCAACCCTACAGTAGAGTTATCGTCTGCTGACAATCAAATGAAAATGTTTTGGCACCAGTTTCATTAACTTCTGTCAGTCAGATGTTACATAAGCTGACTAAATGCAGTCTTTGTCATTAATGCAAAATTCCTTACTAACTTGAACTCTTGGCATAAACTAAGAGTGGGAAAAAGAGCCAGAAGGAAAACAAGGTTCCCAATAAGAATTAAAAAACAATCCACAATGACTTTCTCAAAGCACTTAATCTAGCTCTAAATAATCAGTATTCTGATCATCATTAAGCACTGTTGTGATGGCAACTGTTGGCGCCAAAGCATCTGTGCTACAACTACCAATGTACTAGGACTTTTTTTTTAGTTTTAGAATTCTTTAAGTGTAAGTTGTAAATCTCTTGGCAAACGGATAGCTTAAAATCATAATATATAAGAGCCAAATTATGTCAGATAAAAAGGTTGCTAAAGGAGTGCCAAGTACATTTAATTAAGTTTGTAATATTATTGGATGCGTTTTCACCATGATCTTAAATGTCTCAGTTATCATTCCCAATATTTCCTGATTTACATTGGCAGTTTAGTAGTGTGGATGCACGTTCATACCCTACCTTTTGATGTCTTTGGCAACAGGCCCCCGCTTGCATCCCATTGGAGCTCAAAGCTGTAGAAGCAGATCATATATTCCAGGTCCATCAGTATCACGGACAGGCTGTTCAGTTGATCGGCCAGCCAGAAATCCGCAAAGCCTACTTTATGGAAGGGGGCTGTAAATACTCGAAACTGGGAGGGAAAGAAAAGATCAGAACACAGAGAAATAAGAAAATTCATAATAAATTTCTCTAACTCATGTTTGACCATGCAGCATGATTATTTTCGCTGATAAAATGGAAACCAATGAGCCAATCACAAACACAGGGGCCTGGCAGCAGCGGCTCGGTTGAGAATTAGTAGTGACGGGAATGAGCTGAATGCATAACTACAAGAGGAAATAAAAGGGGCAATAAAAGGGGCGAGGGAAGGCAGGAATCGCTACAGGTACAAAATAGAAAGTAGAGAAGTGGGAAGAGTTGAAGTTGAAAGCAGAGAGTGGCAGAAAGCAGAAGCACTGATAGAACGCCTAGTGTTAGGCTCTAGGGTAAATTTTGCTGGAGAGCCATGTGCTATGGTAATTTCTGGAATATTCTCTCATTTTAGCGGGGATGGGAGCTTAGCTAAACGAATACAAAGCTCTTGGCCTACAAAGGATCAGAAGGGAAGGTGGTATATCATCTGAAGCATGCCTTATTCTCTAACCAGTCACTTTCATTTCACTAATGCCATCGTGATGACTGTATCTGTCTTCAAATTATGCCACACAAATCAGCCCACATCCCACTCTCATGAAAACAATGATCAATGAACTAAGGTTAAATGTACTGAGCCCTAATCCATGCTGTATACTTTTCTCATAATGCATTTCTCATCGTCTACTAACTATAACAATTCCATGAGCCAGGTATTACTCATATCCCCATTTTACAGACTTACAACAAACTCATCCTGGCCTGTTCTGCGGAAACCTGTTTACACTGCAAAGGGAAATCCTGGCATTGCAGAGGCAGGGTCAGATACTGTTATCACCAGAAATAGTTTCAAATTGTGCAGAATGCCTTGACAGGTCTTGAGTGAAGATAGGAGGAAGGCAGTTTTAGTCCTCACCCCGTCAGACCCTTTCCTTCTTATACAGATGAAAACGGCCTCCTTAACAAGGAATTCTGGCTAAGCAGCAGTTTTGAGAAAGTGAGTCTATAGCTGTAGCTCTCCTGCCATCTAGGTACATTCATTCAACCTGGGACACTATGGCTCTCTCTTCTCAGACGTGGCAGTTTTTTTCTATTCTTTCTCTAAATATTTCCCTTTATTATTTCAGGGAGAGAAATGGCTATTTTACAAATCAATCCTGGGCATCAATTATGACAGGTATTACCTTGGAACTTTGGAAGTCAGACCAGGTATCTGCAGGACACAATACAGGCTCTGAGAAACTATATTCTGGAGTTGATATATTTTGAGTCCATGGCTCGGTCTTGATCTTGATCACTTACTTACTTGCTCTTTCAATAAGTTGTACAGTAAGACAGAGGGGCAGCTATACCATTTGCAACCATAAGTTCCAGATATAGCAAACTTTTTTGGGGGCGGGGGCCGTTAGGGGTTGAGATGTTAGTAGTTTATTCATGAAAAAATTTTGGTACCAGTTTATATATTTTTTTAAGAAACTCTAGGGTATAGGATAGACTTAAAAGATTTACACATGGTCAAATTCATCTTAGATTTATACGAATTCCCCCTTTTGAGTGAGAATTATCCTTCCTTTCTTGTTCTGGTTCAGGTCTTTCAACTTCTGCCTTGTGATTTTGATTAAAATGATAATGGTTCACTGAGTAATAGTATTAAGAAAGTTAGAGACAATTCTGGATATCTGATGTTTTATCCACATACACAAAAAAGCCACTAATAAGTTACTACAAAGGATATATATGCTAACATCAGCTTCTAAGTTAATGCAGATAAATGGCTGAAGTTTTAATTTTTTAATTATTAGAGACTTGTGAATAATCACATTCTTTCCAAATTTAATTTTTATATTCCATTAATTTGATCCACTCAATCAAAGTTAAACATCGTAGATAAAGTGACTATCAGGTCTAGCTGTTAAATGGCAATGTTTAATAAGAGTACAGATTACGGAGACAGACAGCCTGGGCTCATACCCCATCTCCATTACTTACTGTGCAACCTCATTTAACTTCTCTGAACTTAAGTTTCCTCATTTATAAAATGTGGATTAATAGCTCCAACCTCATGGTTTATTACAAGGATGCCCAGAACAGTGCATTATTAATGAGATCATCTCTCTAATCCATTCTTATAGTAGAGACAAGGGTAAAAATTTTACTATACAACTAAAGAATATATTGGAAAAACTCAATTCCCAAATTATATAGCAAAGTTCTCTAAGTTTAAAAACTTTAGCCTTTTGTAAGAATAAATTGATATTCTTGTTTAGAAAATCTGAGGCACTATTTATACTTCCTAATGGATTTCCAACTAGGGCAAATATAGACCTGGAGAGATGATGTATGACGTAATGAATGTAAATAAGCTGTACTAATTTTACATATAATATTAATATCAAAATAAATCAATTCCCTATAGATTTTTAAATCTTTTTTTGGGGAGGAAAGTAGCATGTATCAATTCCATAGATTCAAATTTAAATATGGGTATAGAAAAGGATAACTATTGCATTGTTCTGTACACCTGAAACAATAAAAAAAATAAATAAAATAAATATGGGTATAAATGGTGCCCAGTGCCTACCCACTATGGCCAGATGACACATGTTCTTTTCCCACTAAAAATTTAAAAAAAAAAAAAAAGAAAGAAAGAAAGAAAGAAGGAAATGTAGTTTTACTTTAGGGTGAGGCTTTAGTACATTTTATTGTTCTGTTATTTCTTATTATATTATCACTGCCAACCTATTTCTTCAATAAGTCCTCATTTATTAACACATAGAAGATGCTTGGATAAATGTCTACTCAATGGGGAATCATTCTGCTAATAAGAGTAACTGGCCATGCATGAATCATAGCTTACTATTTAAACAAAGAAGGATGCACTGGGGAGACACTCACTTAGCACAAAATGTATACAACTGTATTACACTCTGTTATTGCAATGATGCAATCATAGTAACACATGAGTTTTCTAAGTCTCTTTAAACCTCATTTCAAAATAATGTTATAAAGATTTCACAATAATTGAAGCAGGAAACAATAGGTGTTTATAATTTGAAAGTTATTCCCTTGTAACCAGAAGAATACTACATTTTAATGTAAATAACACAGTTTTAAAACTCCACAAAAATCTAGTAGTAAAAGACAAATTACTTCAAAATAAGACAATTAATCTAATGATGTTGTACTCTTTGGAAATGATTTATTATTAGTGTAAATGCCAAGAGAGTAAAAACAGGCTCAAATTTCTCTTGTCTTAAAAAAATCCTTTAAAAAGCATATTTTCTAGATGATGACAAAACGTGTTAAAGGTGGTGGTCTACTTATGACTGATCAAAATACTCTTGTACATCTAACTTCCATATTCAGAATTCAAACCCAAAGTTAGGCCTAGTGGTTTCCTAAAGGAAACATTTGTTATTTTATTTATATTAATAAAATTGGAGAAAAAGAGGGAGATTCTCAATTTGTGATTAAAAATCCCAGTGCAAGAATTAAGATATATAAATAACAATCAATTTTGGAGAAAAAAAAATTAAGGAGATTTGGGCCATTTTCTTTTCCTGATTGCTATAAATTCTTACCTATATTACAGCATAGGTTGCGTTTTATTTGTTGAATGCTTATTTTTTTATAGGAAGGCCACATTTTATGTCCCTATGGGGCATCCAAAAAGAAAAAAAGAAAACTACAGTGTTCAAGGCAGTATACTTTACAAGGTGAATAAAAAAGGGAGACAATACTTATGGAAATTCTGAAAGTCTGTGTAGAGATTGGTGAATTTAATCACTAATCTTTATTCTAATTCATAATCTAAGAAATAATTATATGAAAGCATTCCCAATTGATTTTCAAAATAGAGCTGGTTTAATTTAGGAGTATGTAGAAGTCCTTTCCCAGAGCTATGTTTACAATATCACAAAAAATACAGTTATCATTTTTGTAGGAAATTCTATATCCTAATGCTGAGACTGCATGATTTTGAGATCATTAAGAAATATTTAAGTGGAAGAAGAAATGAAATTTATTCTAAACAAAGAATCAAAGTCAGTTTCTCAAATTAAACTTGGCAATCTGTCAAGATGTTCCTATTGTTTGAGAACCAAACTTTCATAAAATAAAAATGTTTGGTGGACTACTTATATCAATTTCACAGAAAAACAACAGTTGTACCTTTTTTTAAAAAAGGAAACTTGTAGAGTTCTACATGTTATCATAGCTGATTAAATAATCTGTATAACTAACTATTTAAGTTAATGAATCATTATTAATTTGCAAAATCATTTCAATATCTGGACACCTTCATACTCCATTTCTGGAGGAAAGACATGCATGTGTGCTGTTGCCAAAGACACTGCACTGTGTAACATCAGGTGTACATCATACTGTACACTCTTTGCCCTTGAAGCTAGAGCACCACTCACATAGACTACAATCAATGTGAACTGAGCCTCCTGAAGCTGTACAATCAGCAGCCTTGGTTTCATCCCGGAGGAAGTCAATGACCAATACACCGTTCTAAAAATAGTACATAAATTTCTGGACTTACCAGCAGTTTAAGCAGCCAAAACCGGGATTTATAATAGAAAGTTTTGGTGGGGTTGATAAGAAAGCAAACCATAAATCCATAAAGGACAAGTGGGTACACATATGTAGGGATGACACTAATTGGAGCAAAGAAGCATGCCAGAAGGCTCAGGCACCACAGTATCCCAAGGAATCCAGCAATCTGAGAAAGGATGGGAAAGACAAAAAGAGAAAAAAGTTGTTTTTATTTTTACCATTACTCAAAAGTCTCTTTAACAAAACAAAGGTAAGAAAAATGTTTAGTTATTAAGTCAATAGTCCTCTTCAAGTAGAAGATGGATTTCAATACCCACTAAAGCAATGGTGTATACCTAATGCAAACCAGAGTTGTGGGACTTTACGTCTTGCTTTGATTACCTCAAAAAGATGTTGATGAGACAAATTGCTTCTCGGATTCAGTTCAAAGATGAGCACATGATTTACTCCAGCCTGTCTCCAACCATACGTGTTGATGCCCAGTAGGAAAAGGAATTCAATCAGAAGAAAGCCACCCCGATAGATTCTTATCAAGGGCCATACACTTCTACTTGTTTCAAGTTTAAATACAGCTGAAAGAATATCAATTAACTGGTTAGTTAGAAAATTCATAATGTCTCCTTTGTCTTTTCTCATAATTCTCAATAGCCTTGGCATAGGAATTTTTTATTAAAACAACCTAAATCTAGATTATCATAAGAGTCTGATATACTTGTTTCAGGTTCTTTCCCTTCTTCATTTCACTCTGCAAAATTCCACCAGAATGATTTTCCTGAAATTTGCCTTTTAGCACGTTGGTCCACTGTTCCACTAGTTTCTTAGATCACAGAGAACCATGGTAAAATAGTCTAGAACCGTAAGCGATCTAAGTTATAGCAGCTGGGGGTTTCTGGCATGACAGAACTTCTTGGGTTTTGTTTTGTCCATCATTAAACTGGATATAGTAATACCTACCTCACAGAGTTGCTGTGAAAATTAAAAGAAAAAGTAGACATGACACCAATGTGAAAATTGAAAAATCATATACATGACAACTGCTAATATTTATGAAATGCTTACTATGTGCTAAGGATTGTTCTCTATACCTTTATATATAATAAGTCACCTAATCCTCACAATGGCTCTGTGAGTTGAAAAGTATTATTGCCATTTGATTGATGAGGAAATGAGGGCACAGAAGATGGTAAGCAATTTGCTGGGGTTACTAAGCTAGCATATGGCACAGCAAGGATTTCAATTCCATTTCAAAGCTCACACTCTTAACCACTACATTCTAGTGCTCATAAACCCATACAAATGTTCAGAATCACTACTACTGTATAGCTCTCCAATAATCAGAACACTCCAACACCTTGGCCTTGTAATTCAAGTTCTTCACAATCTGATCTCCAACTCACTCCTCCCAAATTTATCTCACAGTGCCCCTAAACAGTAATTCTTATATCTCCTGATGAATATAATGATCCTTTTAACAAGTTCTCATTGGACATTTGCTTATATTGTCCCCTGTACTTAAAATGAATGGCCTTGCTCTTTCTTTCTAACATTCAAATTCTAGTTACTATTTAAGAGCCAGATCATTATCTGTTCAAAAATTCATTGTACCAATATGTTTCATTTTGAGCCTAGTATGGGCCAAACATTTCAATTTGGGTAACCATTTCTCCATTTTCCCAAATAACTATAAAATGTATTATTAGTACAATTCATTCAAAATTTAATTACATACTACCTTATACACTTACTTAAATTAGAACCACTTATTTAATTTTGTATTCTCTATAGTACATACATAGCACATTTAATAATTTAAAAATTAAGAGTACAGAAAGCCTTTGCTTTGGAGTCAAATATGATAGACCAGATTTCAAATCCTAGCTAAAACTAGAGCAAATTATTTAATTTTTCTAAGTCAGTTTCCTTGCTGGTCAATGGGGATAATATGTATTCATAAAAATTTGTTAATGAGATTAAATGGGAACAATATATATTAAATGACCAAAACAATGTTTGGTCTATTATGAATGTTCAGTATATATCAGTTTTTTTTTTTCCTTTTACTTGAGGAACCTTCATTTTTTCATTAATTTGACAAATATTTATTAGGTACCTATTGTATGTGACCCAGTCAGACAAAATACCTGACTTCAGGAAACTTCTGTATAATGTTACATAGTGATAAGTTTTTTGAAGGAAAACAATGTAGGATAAGGAGATAAAGACTGAGGTTAGGTGTTATTTCAGGTAGGGTGGTCAAGAAGGCCTCTCAAGAAGGTGTGACATTTGCAGAGTATTTACATTTCCTTAAGGGAACAGAGAGTGAATCATGTGATTATCTGAAGGAACAGGGGTCCAAGTAAAGGGACAGTTCAAAGGGCCCTAAGACAGGCATGAGCCTGGTGTGTTCCAGGCACAGGAAGACGGTCAAGGCCACTATGTTGGAATAAATGATAGGTAAAGTGCTAAAAGAGAGCCAAGGGCAGATCAGGTAGGACTTTGTAGTGCTTTGTCAAGACTTAAGCTTTCATTTTGATGTATGAAGCCAATGAAAGGTTTTGCACATAAGTGACTTGACAAGATTAACAATTTTAAAGGGCTATTCTGGCTGTTTTGTGAAGAATAGACTACAAAGGAACAAGTATATTGTTATTGCATCAAATTAAGTGAAGGTTACTAGGAATCTACAAGAGAAGTTTTAAAAATCTAAACAGGTAATTTTTCATCTTCGTGAAACGACATAAATTTCAGACAAATTTTTAAATATCAGGTCCTGCCCCCTTGAGAAACTACAGCAATCGTGCCCATTATTTTCTTGATGTGAGTGTTTGAAAATAAAAATCATGCTTGCACATGCATTGCTGCTGCTGCGTTTCCCTCTCAATTCTCAGCACTGTTATTTCTGACGCACCCGCTGGGAGATAAATAAGGTTACACAGCTGACTTTAGCTGTATTTACCCTGACTCGCGCCCCCCCCCCCCCCCCCCCCCCCCC